AGAAGTTTGCGCAGTGTAGCAAACTAGATCTGAGGCTTGCATTATTGTTGATATTATTAATTACTACTAAATCTCTCTCTCTCTCTCTCTCTCTCTCTCTCTCTCTGCTGCTGCTAAGCGATTTCCTTTCATGTCAACAAAGCTGCAGATCTACAAATAGCAGAACTTAGATGGTGGTATCTGTGCAGAGACTTGAGCTGGCCTCTTTTCTACAATTGTTGAACCGATCCTTTCATTACCTCCGTGCTTCATTGTGACTGTTTCAGGGTGGGGTGGGGTGTGGGGGGGGGGGGTCTCTTCGTATTAGGGGACAGGAAGCAGCCCTCCTGGTATGGCCCCTCTCCACTTGGAGCCCACTGTGTTGTGCTTATTAACCCTGCCTGGGAGAAGACATACCTGCCTCCCCCTCATTAGACCACGCCGGAGAGCAGCTCAGCCTGCAGAAGAATGGAGCATTAATTAGTATTCTCTGCAGGGGGAGCTGCCATTAGCACTTAATTAGCAGTAAGAGCACCATTCAGCCGGGCAGCCAGTAGTGCTGAACATTCTGTGTTTCCCCTGTGAGTGAAATATGGATGAAAGCTCTTGTTGTTTGGGTGAATGTGAGTTTCACTTCCACATGCTGCACATTTGCATTACGTTCCTGCAGCTCCACAGGCCACAGATGACCCTTTTTTGTTTTCTCAGAGGCTTATTTTTGCTGCCTGATTATGTCGAGTCCTACCTCACCAAAGGACACCTCTGTCCCTGCTCCTGTAAGATTTAGAACTTCCTCCTCAGAGCTGTTGACCTGCATGAGGCCAAATGCTGCTCTCTCATCCAGCTCGGCCTGCGTTGGTAAAATGGGTGATTAGTGGGCTTGGGTCAACTTTTCCCATCGGTCTCAGGGAAGTTCCTTTGATCTGCTGAGTAGGCATTCATCTTTCTCTTTTATCCATGTTCTCTGCCCTGCACTGTCACTGCCGAGGAGGACAAGGGAAGCTGTTAACCCACCCTTAGTCCACTCCCGGGCCTCTCCGGTTCTCACTCTTCCTCCCCACTCACCCTTTCCTCTAATCCCTGCCCTCCCCAACAGCCCTCTGAGGCTGGGCGAGCGGTGATGGAGGTACCTTTCACTCTCGGCAATCTGAGAGGCGGAGAGCTGTCATTTGCCAATTTGGCCTGAATGGGGCGGACAGCGGATTGAATGTCGTTTTCCCACCAGGCTGCACCATCCAGACCAGCAGGGGTGGGAGGGGGCTGCAGGGAGTGGGGTGTAATGTTAGAGTAAAATTAGAGCTTTGATTGCAGCTAATAGTGTGAGATGGGTGGTGCTGACGTGGATTTCCAGTACAGATGCCACGGGTTCCCTGTACCTCAGCCTCTCCAGGTCTGACCCACCTGTGAGATTATTCAGGCCTTGCCTCCTCTCTCCGAGCTGCGATTTCACCCTGATCAGTGTAATTATACATCCTGCCTGTGTCAAAGGGCCCGAGAGGTCCCGTTTCTCTCTACACCATACACTTAAACATAAAAACACACTCCAGCATTTCGTTTCACAGCCAGGTGGAGGCAAGGAAGCAGAAATTTCACTTTTATGACAATTGAATGGGGCTGAAATGATTTTCAGCTCATGTCTGGTCTGTTAGGTGTTTCTGTGGGAAAATACTTTTTAACATTTGAAGTTTATCACCTGGTTCTCTAAGTTTGACCTGCTTGCGATTTCTGTTTGAGGAAACATTACATAACTTTGGGTTGGTCATGGATTCATGTGATTGATACTGGTAGAGGACATCTTTTTAAAACGAAACAGAAGGTTCGAGGTTGATTCTGCAGCTCTTTTAAAAATGCAGACTGAGAAATGTATTTCAGAAAAAATAAATTTAGCAAAAACAAAACAAAAAAAAAATGGAAGGATTTCCTAAATTCCTAATTCCAGCACCTCCCAAAGACTGTATAAATTTAGGAATGCAAACCAAAGACTAGGCTGAGGATTCCACATGCCATTTTTGGCATTTGGCATCATCTGTAGCACACACAAAGGTTCAAATGATTCAGGATAGTTGTTGAAAGTTTTCCACAAAAAAGCTAAAAATTAGGTGAGAATTTTTGTGACAGCCTTGAAGCAGAAATGTGTTTGTTGCAAAAAGCTTTGATTCTGCAGAGGAAATCACAGCTTGGCCTCTGGAATAAAAATGTTTTGGGGAACAGGTTGAATTTCTCAACAAGTAAAAGAAAAAAAAAAGATGAATTAGATCTAAACTCAGCCACCAACTCACTCTGAGCTCATGTACGATGGAAGAAGACATTCTGAATCATCACTTTTACAAGTTTTGCTCTTTCTGCAGGTTTCCAAATGCAGCCTTTGGGATTACATATGGGTGCAATAGTGCCCTAGAGCACTATTAACACTAATAATATTACATGATTATTTCTTCAGCCTTTGCTACCATCCCCACATTTTTTTCTTGGAAGGTTTTGCTTTTGTCAGTAATAAATCTCTTCACATTACAACAGGCTGGCTCTGCAACCATGCCAGCAGCATGCTCTTGTGTTGTTGGCTCTCAATGTGTTAATATGACACAACTTGATCTGTTGTCTTTGTGCTATTTTCACTTAGTTGTTTTTATTTACATTTCACACCATTTTCCTGCTTTTCCCATAAAAATATGCCAATGTGGCTAAACTCTGAAGCCTTTTTCTCTCCCAAAATGCAAAGCAACTGATAACATTATACTTTGTTTAAAGATTTTGAGAAGATCTTTGAGAAGATTTGGGGAATTTGTGCAGCTTTTCCCAATTCAAAATCCACATTAATCACAAATATTATGCTCCTCTCAAAAACATAAAAATACACTGAACTAGGGATACATCTACATATCGGTCAGCCAATATATATATATAAATCTTTTTTTTAATGTATCAGCATCAGCAGATTTACCTCCTTAGTGATGCTGAATTAAATTCAGGCACATTCCCGAGCAGCCCGCTGCTGCAGCAGAATTTATTTCAAACGTTCATTTATGTTGCAGAGTAACATCTGCAGAATAAATGCTCTAAAGTAATGGCCGCTTCTCAGTATGCATACTCATCTGAGCTTGTGTACTCGTGTCCTTGTGAAACGTCATCAACGGTGGTGCAAGTACTGTTCCTATCCTAAGTATGTGTCATGGCAGGTCTGCTCAAAGTTCCCGGCTGTGTTCTTGCTCCGCCCGTTCCATCGAGGATGCATTAATGCATCCTTCTGTGGATTTGGGACAGCAAAGTATCCCTCAATGCATTACGTCATACTTAAATGTCAGAGGAGAGAGCTCATAACTGTAGATTTATATCAGAAATATGAAGTAGTCTATTGTAAACAATTGTGTGTGTTATTTGTAAAATGTGCTGTGTGTGTTTGGTTTTTATTTTCAGACTCTTCGCGATCTCTCAAAATGCTAAATAGCTAACTCACTAACAAAATAAATGCTGCATTGCCTTAAACAGCTTTTTTTTCATTTATCAGCAGGACAGGTTGGTATTTTATCAGTTTTCATTAAAAGTGGACCAAATATTATACAAATAATTTGTATTTATTGTTATTTTGTTCTTTAAGGGATAAACTAGACTGTTATTTTTACGTCAGGTCATTTTAATAAACGTAGCAACAAGCAGCGCTTGTGCTTGTTACCATCATGCAACGGAGTATGGTTCTGTTCCAAATGCCGCTTGTGTCCTCTCGTGCTCTGTAGAACAGTCTTTCTGGTGTACTTGCCAAGAACACAATCACTTACTAGCATCCCCGAGTACTGACAGACATCGTTTTCAACTAAAATTTATTTTTATTTACCAGTTTCAAATGTTGGATACTTGGTGAGTTAATTGATTTGTTTGATTAATTTGAGTTAGATCTCTGATTTTACTGATTTTTCTGAGCAGGGCACAAAATTAAGATTTACTAGTTGATTAAATTCAGAGTTCAAAAACAGATTCAGCATCAGAAATGTTGTGCATCCACTGGTGTTATTATTGACATTTTAGCATGCCAATACTGAGGAAACGTTTAGAGGTTGGCCATGAAAATCAGCCCAAAAACTCAACCGCACATATTAGCCTTCGGCATGATGGAATCTGCGATAGAAAAACCATATTGGTTGAGCTCGACACTAAACATAAGGGTGGAATTTGCTCTGGGGTGCGCGCACACACACACACACACACACCTCCCTGGGCATTAGCAGCGCTGTGACGTTTTGACATATGTGCAGCTAAAGGCATCTTAAATGTCCGTATCATCTGTAAACCTGCCAGTGCCACAAAGACGGAAACAGAACACCATCAGCAGCGTCGGGCTGTATCATTCTCCTCATGTGCAACGCTAGAGAAACAAACGACTCTCTGCATTACGTTCCTCTAGATCTAAGCCAAGAGGGTGCACTCTGAGAGAAGAGCCGTTTAGATTTGTTTCTTAGGTTTGGTTTAACACACAGACACTCAGGTGTACTTTTAACATTTCTATCGAAGCCTGAGCTTCCTCCGTTTTATATACCAGAGTCAGAAATATAATATCCCATTTTAAAATGGATGTGAATGCAATGATTTCATTGTTCCGCTCTTTCTTGGTAATGTGTAAATGCTTGTGACCATGTGAAGTGATTGTCTTCTTCCTGCTGCACAGGAAGTATTATCCTCTAGTCTCCAGGGATGGGAGATGTTTTGTTTTTTAGGCTCTTTCACACCGGATTTCCTTCTTTTTTTTATTTTTAAACACAATAGCCCTCTCTTCTTCTCTCGCCCAGTGTGGCAACCCTTTCAAACGTGTAGCTCCAGGTCAGTTTCCTTGCCAAGTTTTGCAGCTTGCCATGTTGTCTATTCTGCTCAGCTATTTAAAAATGTTGAATATCAACAATGGCTTTCACTGGTGCATTGTCAACTTTTGTATGCAGCAATCTTGGCTGAATTAGATGGGTCCCAGAGCAGGGAGAGCTCAGCTGCAGTGTGCCGCGCTGTAGCAGAGACTGCCCAGTGCTCTCACGGTTCGGTTCATACCTCTCTGCTGCACCGAGTGGCTCTGGTTGAAGTAGTGCTGCACGGATGGGTGAGGGGAAAGTCATCTGGGCTGAGGCGACGGGCCTCGGATGTGCCCGCCATATTTTGGGCCTGCTGACGCTCAGCTGTGGAAGGTGGGTCCAACAGGGAGACTGAAAAACAGGAGCAGCAGGAGCGCTGGGACAAGTGAGAGCTCGGTGAGTGTGCTTAGATTTCTGGTCAGAGTGGGAGGAGGTTTGTCGAGAAGAGGGGAGAGCGGGGGGAGGATGGGGTGGGGGTACTCAGGAAGATGGTGCAGGAAGCTTTGTGGTCACACGTTTGTGAAGTTTTAACATGAGCATCACCTGTCCTGAAATCACCCTGATGAGATGCCGTAACTAAACATCTGTGGACATTAGAAAATTAAGTTTTATTTCTTTTATTTACTAACATTTTTTCTAACTATTCTGACATTTCAACAATGTCTGAAATTCCACCTCTTCAGAATGTTTCCGTCTGATATCCATACTGGATGCATCAGTGACTATATGCAGAGCACCGTATCTGTGTTTGTACGCCAGAAGAAAAGGATGAAAGCAGGAATGAGAGCTTGCTTCCAGATAATAGTAGCTTAGGCTCTTTGTCCTGCTGTCAGCCAGGAGAGCAGCGAGGCTGGAAATCTCTCCAATGCACCAGCAGCGTCTTGTATGTTTCATTGACATATCAGTCTGTGGGGCAATGAGCCGTTGCTTCTGTACCGCTCGGCACACTCCTGGACTGTGTTTGTGTACGCTTCTCTCTCTCTCTCTCTCTCTCTCTCTCTCTCTCTCTCTCTCTCTCTGTGTGTGTGTGTGTGCGCGCGAGCGCGCGTGTGTGTGCAGGTAGGAAACACGGAAAGGAAGCATGTATCTGTGTTGATGAAGAAAATGCAGTTATTAGAGGAAATCAGTTGTTTTAGAATATTTTTGTATTTGTACCTCAATTTAGAATTATTTGTGATATTTTCTTTTTTTTAATCTACCTGGCGCTCTTACTCAATAAATAGAGAAAAAAAGACAAAAAATTTTTAAAGTCAAAAACAGTCCTTAAAATACATTTTTTTCATATGACATTTTAAATATAAATAGTTTCCTCTTAATTAAAGCAATTTTTTTTAAATCTTGGGCCCAGTTTTAGATTTAAAAATGAAAATGCACTTATTGCCTGTTCATTGCGCTGCTGTGTTGTCCTCCGCCTCACCTCCCTGAGCTTAACCCAAAGCAAGGTGACCAAATTCATCTCCCACCAGCCCCATCCATTATCTTGTCAACACAGTCAGCTTCCCGCCTTAGTTTGCTTTTCTCCCAGAAGACTCACTTTAATGGAATACGCAGCAATCACCACACTTATCTCGTCATGCTCAAGGTAATTAATATATTTAGAGGGCGATGGCTAACTCTTAATTAAATTAAGTCTCTTCTAATGAGACCTTGACTGAGACTAAATTTATGACCACTATCTGCTTTATCAAGACTTTGGCGTGCAACAGAGATTAGTCATTTTGTTCCAGATTGCACATTATGCTCTACATGATTTATATATTCATTTGAGATTATTTGTTTCTTATTTAGGATTTAATAAATAATCTTTTATAATTACCCTCACCTAGTTGTTGATTTTTTCTTCTCCTTAAAACAGTTTTTCATTTAAAGCTCACACCAGTGTTTCTGTTACAAATTCATTTTGGAGAAGAATACAGATAACATTAATCATATTAGAAAATTGGGCATGTTTAATTAATTACAGTTACACTGCAAATTAATTGTGGATTCTCACAATATTATCTGAAACTAATGAAGGCATGACAAAGAGAGTTTTTCCTTTCTTTAAAAAAAACCAGGAGGCTAGATTGGTGGGATCTTAATTATGGCTAAGACAAAAGAGGGCTGCAAAGCAAAACATGACGATTCAGCCCTTTCTCCCAAACAAAAAGAAAAAGAAAAGAAAAGAGGAAGAAGAAAGTTTTCCATTGTTTTTGGAAGAAAACCAAACATGGCAATGATTTAGCTGATACATGGGAAGTAATGAGCGCTGTAATTAGCTGGACGGGGTAATAACAGAGCTTAAAGTGATCATCAAAGACAGAGGTGCTTGATAATGCCATTCACATGTGGCAGTTTTAAATCAGCACCAGAGAAGAGCAGCATCTCCTCTGCTGCACGCCGCTTCGCTGCAGGTTTTATTTCGACTCCTGAAAATCAGATCTAAAATGGCATGATGAATGGAAAGTGCGGGTGGCGCAGTGGTTAGAGCTGTTGCCTTACAGCGAGGAGGTCCTAGGTACACTTCCCAGCCTGGGATCTTTCTGCATGGAGTTTGCATGTTCTCCCTGTGCATGCGTGGGTTCTCTCCGGGTACTCCGGCTTCCTCCCATAGTCCACAAACATGACTGTTAGGTTGATTGGTCCTTAGTTAACTGTCCTTAGGTGTGTGTGTGATTATTTGTCATGTGTGTCTCTGTGTTGCCCTGCGATGGACTGGCTCTCTGTCCAGGGTGTACCCCGCCTGATTGCCCATTGACCGCTGGAGATAGGCACCAGCCCCCCCCCCCCCCCCCACCCCCCCATGACCCCACATGGACAAGCGGTTTCAGAAAATGGATGGATGGATGGAAAGTGCACCGATTAGAGTCTTGAGTGTGAGCTGAGGGAAATCAGACAAAACACAAAATCTTCATTGTGCACCAAAATGACTTAATACAGTCTCAGCTGGTGGGTCCAGAAGCAAAAGCACATTTATTGAAATGATGTGCTTAATTTCACCTGAATTAGAATTAGCTTTCAGTAGATGCAAGCTTAATTCAGAGTTATTTTATTTTTCATTTAACGCATCATATCCCAAAAGCTGTAATGTGTTTCCCCTGAAACCAAGAAATGACCCCTCATCATATTAAAAGGTCTTTCCAACCCCCCCCCCCCCCCCCCCCCCCAATGGCATAATTCCATTTACTTTTAGCTTCATTAGCCAATAAAAGCTATGCTTTTGTCAAAATGAAGAGTCAGTGAGGATGAGTTTTCACACTGTTGAACACGATTATCTAAAGTGGGCTTGTAGCGGCGATTAACCCAAAGTGTGTGTGTGTGTGTGATCAAATATGTTGGAAATGTGCATCCCTGAGTGATGAGCAGCAACAAGCCAGAGGTGATGAGGTGAGAACCCATTCCCTAGGTTATAAGTGAGATGGAGCGCAGCGTTGGGTGGTCACGCCTTGTCTGCTCACGACAGCAGCGGGTTAAAGAGATTACACCGAGTCTGTGTCAGCAGCCTTGGCCTCCAACACGGGAACATAATGAACAAGGACATGCTTGGCTGCTGGGGAGAAAAATAAAGAGGCAGCTAACAGCTTTTGTGTGTCAGATTACAGGATTTGACTTAAAGTTTTGCACATGTTGCACCAGTTCTGGTCATCACAAGTGTCACTGACGACGCTGACATGATGGGGGAAAATTACAGAAATGCTCAAAATAAATAACTTACTCAGATGTGCACATATTGAAGTTTACTCAAATTAACAAGTCAAGCCCAGGAGTGTATTTTTAGATGACCCCCCCACAACACCACCACCAGATTAGGTTCAGTCCGTTGGAGGTTCTTCCTCTTCCCTGTAGGATTTATAAGGTTTACTTTCGTAAGTTGTAAAGAAATACTTGATTTTTGTTTTTACTTAATTAAAAGTACAGATAAAGGCGTAAAAATAACTACTTGAGTAAATGTGGAAGTATGGAAATGTTTGACTTATAGGATGCGTGTACTTAAAAGTAAAAATAAAGTAATCAAGTAACATTTTACTATGTGCTGTGTGTAGAAGTATGCTGTTGGGGTGGGGGACGGTGTTATAAATTTTCATTCTCTTCATCTTTTTTATTATTTAAAGACACCTGATATTGACTTTATTTTTACCTTTATTCTTTTTCTTTTTTTTCATAACTTGTCAACATTTTTATTTATTTATAATTGTAACTAACTAATTATTTGTTTGTTTACATTTATGAGTTGACTAATTTGAAACAGCTAGAAAAACGAATAAAAAAATACAAATAAGTGTCTTAGGAGGGTAAATTGTAGCGGAGTAGAAAGCACAGACAACCCCTGGAAATTTAAGTAGTTTTAACCGAATCAGAGAAACAAGACCAGCCTCAGTCAGTCTAACTTTTAAAAAAAATCCTTTCTTTTTTGAACATATTTGCTAAATTAATCCACCTACAATGCACTCTTCAGAGTATTCCCTCCTCATTTATTTTACTGCTGTTTGTTGTCTTGATGTTTTGTTTTTTCCCAGCATGCAGTGGAACACGCGTAGCGTTCAGAGATGAACTCGGGAGTTTATGTTGAGGAAATTATTAATCTACAGAGTTTAGTTATAGCTGTAGGACTTAAGGTGGACTAAACTAAAGCACACACTGAAGGAGAGAGAAGCGTATGTCAGACCAGATGAGTTAAGCTCTAGATGTTTGGGGTTGTGGCCATGTGGGGGAAAAGGAAGTGTGCACAGTTGTGAGATTATTCTGGCTGCTCTTCACAGATCAGACTATTTATACTGTATTACTACTAATACTAATATTAACAGTTGATGAGAATCTGTCAGCACTGGATTTCATACAGGTATGGTGAGCCCTTGCAGTATGTCCATTTGTGATGCTGACCTGCCTGGATGCTCTAAAACACGTTACCTGCTCATTTAAGGTCTTGTTTAGAACTTTGGTTTGTGAAAATGTGACGCCCACCTGCAACTGTTCTTGATTTACTTCAGGGATAAGAATTCATGCAAGTACAGCAAACCCCACTTCGTCATTGTATGTCTCTGTGCTACTTAATGTGTTTCATTAATGCTTAGACTTTTTGCACATGTATGGCTGGATGTTTAATTTCTTTTATTTCAGTTTGTGATGAGTGTTTCAGGTTTGTCTCTTTGCTTATTGACTGTCATCTTGGTTTGTTGTAAGGTAACAGGACCTGCTGGAACAATAGATGACTCATCTCAAGCGGTTTCATCCTATGGAAATATAAGTTTATAAATAAATAAATAAAAACTCTGAACAGATGCCACTAAAATCAGTGATGTAGTGTAACAAAGTACAAGTACTTACTGTACTTAAGTACAGTTTTTCTGTCTCTGTCCTTCACTGAAGGCATTTTCTTGAGAACTACTTCTTACTTTAACTTGATAACACTTTAAAAGTAAGTGAAGCTGTTTTAATTCCTATAAATATATTAGTTTAGCTCAGTGGCCTTAACATGATGACCACTGGTTAATGTACAGAACCATTAAGTCACTGTTAGGCCAATTATGCCAGATTTAATACATCGTTTGTGTCTGCCGTTGCTCAAAATGATCTTGCAAAGCACGTTTTCATCATTAATTTACATTCCAGTTTGATTTATGCAAAAAAAAAAAAAAAAAAAAAAAAAAAAAAAGATCAAGCCACATTTCTTCGTTTTTCAAACAGTCCATGGGTGTCCCCAACCCCAGCTTTGATAAATGCAGCAAATATTCTGTTTTGGTCATATTCTTATTCAGATTTCCCCTTAAATTTAACATTTTTTATTGCTGATAATAAATTATTTGACTTTTTTTTGGTAACAAAAACATCTAAATAAAAAATGAATAGCTGTTTTGTTCCTTGCAGAAGTGAGAGTGTGAGATAAATCCTGTTGTATTATTTTATCATTGCTGTCGCATTTTCCACTCAAATCATTCAAAATATGTGACAATGATTCATAAAACCAGTTATAATGCTACAGCCGCGACTCACACCGATGCTTTAAAAGCAGAATGCGTTTTTCTATCAGCTCCTCAGATAAGTCCAGTTATTAGGACGACCATAGCTCAAGCTGCGTGCAACGGAGAGGTGATAAAAGCGACACTTTTATTCCCCTAAATGACCCGTGAATATTATTTTACCTGTGTTGAACCGGGAGGACGCAGTCATTCATGGCACACAAAGGGAACAGCAGAGCGTGCGTAAATTGCATCTTCATTTGCATTCCTGGTTTAAAAAAATCGTGCAAATCTTAATGAGACTGTCTCCATTGTGTTTGTCAATGAAAAGCTTTTCTTTGTTAATTACTGTTGCTGAAAGGGCCGCTGCGCGGTCACTGGGCTGAAACAAAAAAAGTTACTGATTCTGTTTTAAACCGGATTAAATCACATTTATTTTTAGATATTTGATGCGACTTTTCAGTCACAAGAATGTGCGCAAATTAGGACGACACCGTGAAAAAATAGTAATTGTGTCGCTTTTAATGAACAAAAAATGACAAATTAAAGCCAGCTAATCAGTAAATAATCTGGAGCTAAACTAATAATGGCAACTGTCTTTTTACGTTAAACTGTTTTCTTTTTAAACGTTTTAATCTAATCAAATTTTATTTTCTCTGCAGCTCTGGGTGAATAAATCCACATTATTATTGTGTGCTTTAAGCCAAAAGGCCTTTTGTTTCCATTATCCAAAACTCGAATTTATGTCTTTTCAACCAAACATTTAAATCAAAAGTAAACAAAACATAATATATAATGAAATTAAAATATTTAGGTATTTAGTTGAGAAATCGACATAAATATAACAAAATTGCAACTTGTTTCCTTAAAGGGCGCTGGTGGATCGTGGTAAATGAACTTTTACGCAGCGCGCGCGCTGGTTAGAACCAAGCCGGCTGCGCTTCAGGTGCTTCCACATATTTCCCAGCATTCATCGGCCCCTCGGGGCTGCAGGCTCGATGAGTCTGAATCAGAGCAGACTGCGCTGGTGGTCCTCGGTTCCTTAATTAGGAAATTAGCTGCACAGAGGCCCTCATTATCAAACTCCGGGTTACTCCAGGTGCCCCCCCCCACTCCCCTCGCCCACCCCCTTTTCCCCAAACCGGTCAATTTCCATAAGCAGATTAGCTACAAGCGGATCAGTATTGAGATTTACTCAGATAAACAAATAACTGGTCCCTGAGAATTAGATGAGCACTAATTGGAGGTTAGTTTTATTGCTCCCGCGCTGTTGGTCACGCCCCATTGAACGGGAAAATTAAATCAATGCAGTGATGTCTATTTTCTGTAAGGCTCTGGGCAGGTTTTCCTCTCTGAATGATGCTTTTTTCTCCTCCGTTTTACCGTTTGTGTTTATTGTTTTATTTATTTATTGATTTATTTATTATTTGTTCTTTATTTAACCAAGAAAGTCCCATTAGATTAAAACCCTCACATCTCAACTTCTACCTAACTTTGTTGAGAAAACAACCTAATCACTATATTTTAAAAACGATCAAATATTACATTATCATGTATTATAAACTTTTTTATGATTATTTAGGGTTTTATTACAATCTCAAACTAAAATTCTAATTTGATGTGTTTTCAGGAGCGCGCGCTCGGTATCTTTTTTGTTTCTACGGTAGCTGAGCTCTTATCTTGTAAAACTCCAGGAGGTGAAGATACCAGAAGCTCCCAGAGACTCTTCTGTGCAGAAACTAATGGTGGCTTTCGATGGTTCGGTCATTTGCAGGTGTGAGATTCCTGTTTGGTTTCAGTCAGAGTAATTTGTAAGGCCATGCAAATGGAAAAGGGCACTCCACATGTTAATAAGCATTGACGCCTCTGAGGAGAAAAACCAGCCAGCAAACTGCAGATGGATGGGGTTTGGAGACCTTGTGGGGACCTAAAACTATACTTTCCCCAGGGACCAAAGAGATGGCCTGTCGCCTCCACAAGAGGTCGTTGATGTATTAAAGTTTCACATAAAGCGACTTTCAACGCCACAAAACGATCATTTTCACTAATTAAACAGCAGAAATGTATGTTTAAACAATTACATTAAAGGGAAAATAAGTTCGACTTGAAATAAAGTTTAGTTTCATCCCGGTGATCGTGAGGTACACAAACCTGCTCAGAAAGTTTCAGTCGTCTTTAAAAATATACAGGCGTGACAAGCTGACAGCATAGAAATGTGTTGTTTAATTAGACACTAATATATACGCGTGCTGTTGTGAACACGATTCATATCTATACATTTTTTTTAATTCTCTTTCCAACCCTATGGATGCCAGAAATACGCCCTGGAATGATCTTTAACTTAGTTCTACTCAGTTTTATTTGAATGTTTCCATCAGAATCAGGAAGAAAATGACACGAAACTGTGTCTCCATCAATGTTTTGGTGGAATAAACCAAAACACTATGATGACATAAATATTTAAGTCTGTTTACTGTCTAATCTCCATCCACAGATCTGTGCTGCTTAAACTTCACCTCCTCCTTCTCATGCACCACCATGATCACCTATACCTACTCCTCAGCTTCACCAGGACCTTCTTCCTCCTCCTCGAGCCAAAACAGAGAGGTGTGCGCTCTGATTGGAATAATGGACGCGCGCTCTGATTGGTCTCTTGACGTTCTCTCGGCCCACATCACATGGCCCGGCCTCTGGGCCTATTAACACGTGAGCTTGGAGAACAAGTTTACAGACTTGTGGTTGAGAGCTGAGCGGAGCGGAGCGGATTGGAGCGGACTGAACCCAGCGCGGCACCTGCACACCAGTTTTCCGCTCCAGGCGCAACTTTTTTCACATCTCTTCATGAGACCGGTCAGTAGGTGATCTCTCGGACACCTTGGTGCTATTTACTAAAGTTTTTTTTTATGTGCGTGTGAGTGATCACCTCAAGTCGCCCGAATGTATAACATGATGGAAACCGAGATCAAGACCCCTCTCCCGCAGTCCAACTCGGGCTCGGCGCCGGGCGCAAAGAACAGCAGCGTCAGCGACCAGGAGCGGGTCAAGCGGCCGATGAATGCATTCATGGTGTGGTCCCGAGGCCAGCGGCGGAAGATGGCGCAAGAAAACCCCAAAATGCACAACTCTGAAATCAGCAAGCGGCTCGGCGCGGACTGGAAACTTCTGACCGACGCGGAGAAGAGGCCGTTCATCGACGAGGCCAAGCGTCTCCGGGCGATGCACATGAAGGAGCATCCGGATTATAAATACCGGCCCCGCAGGAAGACCAAGACCTTGCTCAAGAAAGACAAGTATTCTTTGCCTGGGGGACTGTTGGCGCCAGGATCCAACACCGTCAACAACTCGGTGTCGATGGGGCAGCGGATGGACAGTTACGCGCACATGAACGGCTGGACGAACAGTGCGTACTCCCTGATGCAGGACCAGCTGGCCTACCCTCAGCACCACAGCATGAACAGCCCGCAGATCCAGCAGATGCACCGATACGAGATGGCGGGTCTGCAGTACCCGATGATGTCCTCGGCGCAGACCTACATGAACGCGGCGTCCACCTACAGCATGTCCCCGGCGTACACGCAGCAGACCTCCAGTGCCATGGGACTGACCTCCATGGCGGCGTCCGTGTGCAAGACCGAGCCGAGCTCACCGCCACCGGCCATCTCGTCCCACTCTCAGAGGGCGTGTTTGGGGGACCTGAGGGACATGATCAGCATGTACCTGCCCCCCGGAGGGGACAGCGCGGAGCATTCCTCCCTGCAGAGCAGCCGGTTGCACAGCGTCCACCCACACTATCAGAGCTCAGGGACTGGCGTCAACGCGACGCTACCTCTCACCCACATCTAAACAAAACAAAACTTTTGAACTGAAAAAATAAAACGAAATAAAAAAGGATTCTTGGACTTAGTTGGTTGTTACAGAGTAAAAGTTTTGCTCCAAGACTATTTTATCTGAAATTGTCTGTTTGAAATGAACTTTTAAATGGACCGAAGCTGTAGAGATGGGCTTCTGCGGGTCCATTGATGCCATATTTTCATTCTTTGAGAAGGCATGGTGCCTCGTGAAGGGGCTGGTGTATTTCAGAAAAGCTGGAAGGACAGTTTGTTCATAAATGTTTACACTTCATTTGTAGGATGGCGGTCATTCTCCACGGTGTCCGGATTGGTTCCTGCCTCCCCACCCACACAATAAAAGTTTAGATGTTTGGACTGAGCCGGTGTCAAAAACAACTTTTATTTATAGTAATTTGTTTTATTTTTAGTTCGTGAAATTGATAAAAATATTCAAAAAGTCGCGTGTTTGCCTTTGTAAATTGTTCTGATTCTGTTCTATTTTGTTTTTTTGCCAGTGTCATGTTTTTACTATTGCCACGAACGAAAAGGTTTATTTAAACTGACGTTTCTACATATTTTAAAGCATCATCAACTCTCAAATGCTGAATAAATTTTCATGAAATGTAGAATTTGTGACTTGTGTTTTGAGTGTGGAACAAGGTTTATGTTTACATTTATAGCATTTAAACACATAATGTTTCCTTGATTAAGTAAATTTCTCTTAAATTAATTTGATAAAATGTCACAAAGTTTGAACAGATTAAGCAGAAAAATGTGAATTCATATCTTTAACGTTTTCTGCAAATTATTTTTATTATACTCTAAATATTAGTGTAACAATTTTAAACAGCGTTAAAATATTTAAAATATGAAAGCATTTTTGAATATTCATACTATTCAGGCAGTTTAAATGTATTTAAAAAAATTTAAGGGTAGAAGTTCACTATTTTAATTTGTTTGTGTCGCTTCTTTTGTGACTTAAATGAATAAACAAGCTTTTAAACACGCCACAATTACAAAAACTCAAAATGTGCCTGAGTGTAATGACAACAAATGACTCCTCTGTTCTAAAACCACATACATTTAAAAATCTAACAACAATTCAGGTTCAACTATAGATTTGTGGTTAAAAGAACCTCAGATGGTGTTTTTAAACCATGTTATTGTGATAAACACAAAAGCCACAAACGTATTAAAGAGCTTTATTTTTCTGCTTGTTACACCAAAACAACACGCTGATTATCTGGGAACGGAAATGTTTAAACTGAAAATCGTGCCTTCACTTCAGGAATTTTTAAAATATATTTATTGTATACAACAAATATATTAAAAATCATTTAAATATTTATACTTAAATGATCTAGTTCCATAAAAATAAGAAACCTTAGTATAAAATTTGCAAAAAGAACAAGTGTGGTGAATTGTCCATTTTAAGGTAAACATTTTAAGACTAAACGTGAAAAAAAATGTAAAAAATGTTTTTTAATTAACTGCTATCGTTTCACTGCACATTTAAATTTAGCAGTAATCTTGCTGACAACACACAGGTGTGTGTGGAAGAATGGCTCGTCCTGCTGCTTCAGAGTCCAATAAGGATGATTAATCTCCGGACACAAAGTGGCGTGGACCCGCTGGCCTTCCCACACTCCCTGCAGGACTGGATCCATAGCTGGGTGCAGCACCCTGGATTAGCCCCATGCACCTTTGTGGAGGGACAGATTATCCAGACCTCCCTGCATTCAGTTACAGGGTTTAAGTCACTCTAGCGTGCCAGCAGCCACCCGTCACCTAATCACACTCTTCAGCTCCTTTTTTGTAATGAAGCGGCTTTTTTCTCTTCTGGCTTCTAAGTGTTGAGCTGAAGTTGGACATTATTTACAAACCAGCAGTAAAAGTATTTGTTTTAGGGAACATTGTCATAAAAACCACAGGTTTAGGGTTCGTTTCTCTGCAAGAATGTTGAAATTTCAATTCAAACCAATCACTGCATGAATTGCTGAGTATTTCTCTGAAGCTTGCAGGATTAAAACATCGAGAGGCTCCAGCGTCCACATGTATTGATTGTGTTTGAATATCTTATCTGAATTTGCCCCACCCCCCCTGCTGAGTGCCCAGAGGGCCTCTCTCCTCTGTCATGTGGAGCTCTGTGCCCACTCAGCAAGTGCAGGCATATCCCACTTCCATCTGCCGGTGACCTCACAGCCCCTGTTTGTTTAACCCCCTCTCCAAAAACTAACCTAATTATAGCCCTGTAGAACATGGATTCAGGAGATTCCCAGAGGATTTTGCTGCTATCTGTGAGGCGCACGAGGAAGAGTTTGGGACTAGCAGTGGCATCGCCAGGCCGCGTCTCACTCTGCTTTTTTACACATTCCCCCTTTCATTATGTCAGAACATGTCCTGTTGCACACTGTGTGGGAGTTTGCTGATAAAAGAAAAAAAAAGTATTAAAAGCAGGAGAAGTGTGTTATTTGATGTCAGTATGATGAGTGGAAAACTCATTAGGCAGAGCTGGCTGACAAGACGGCCGTTTGTGACATCACCATCTCACCTGCCTGACTGGCTGGGCGACTTGGAGCAGGAGCACACCTTCTTCAGCGTCAACTCTTGATGCAATCTTTGTCTCAAATGTGGCACCTCCCCTGATACCCAGATTAGCCCTGAACGTAGTTTGGGTGTAACGGGTGAATGCATGAGCGCGGCTGAGGACTGCACCTATGACAGATTCAGACTGGATTGATTTGCATTGGCTGGGATCCTCATGGCGCTCTGATCTGATCCTGGGGGGTGGTTGCCTGTCCAGCTCGGGCAGGCCTGTCCAGTGCAAGAGGACCTGTGTGAGGTTGTGAAATTGACAGCAGAGTGGTGTGTGAGGGTGTAGAGGTAGGGGGGTTAATCTCCCTGAACTGGGGCAGATGTTGTTAACGAGCTCCTCTCAGGTCGACTCCCTGCGTGGGAAAATGGCATCAAATCCTCCTGGGGTCAGGGCTTTGGGGTTGACCCACTGAGAGCCATCCTCTGCATCCACTGACCCACCCACCCACTCATCCACGGTTAGCACAGACGCTAGAAAAATCACATTCTACCATTTTCTTACTCTTTTTTTTAAGCTGGTCCCAGATCTTCAGGTCCCTGCCTGAACTTTTGTTGCGTGATGAAAACGTCTCATTAGTGATGGCTGTGGCTGAAGCACAGCGTCTGACACAACCACAAGGAATGCTGTGTGGGAAGTGCTTCAAAGATGAGCCTGCCGCTGCTCAAGAAAACACATCCGCCCAAGCTTCTTGTATTTACCTCAATAGAAAGTAAATTGGCTGAATTAAGGCGTTACAGACTTTCTGGTGTGTAAATTTCCATTTGTGCTTTCTAAGTGTGAGAAGAATTAAAAGACAATTATTCCTTCTGAAAACTTTTGCATGAATTTTATTTTGAAATCAAAATTTTAAAACAACTTTCCCAAACAAAAGGAAAAAAACAACAACTGTGATTCAGTGTTTAAGTGACTTTAGAAGCAATATTGTCATCTTTTTATTCACTGAGAAAAGGAAAGTTGAAGGAAATATACAAAATGACACCTAGAAATTCCAGTTTTTCCACATTTTTTAATGTTGTTAAAGTGTAAAAGTAACCTAAATGTTCAAACTCTTACCATAAAACCTCGTTGGTAGGCCTGGTGGTTGGGTCAGAGTGGAGAGGATGAAACAAAAATTGCACAAGTCACAGAAAGAGCTTCAGTCTGACCTGGAGTGACCTGATGAAGAATTTTCATAAGAGGTCAATGGGTTGAAATCACTCTGCTACTGAGAGTAAGGTGAAACTTAAGTAAGGTGAATATCCTGTAGTTAAAGAACAGCCAACCTGCAGTAAAGCACGGTGGAGGTTGTATCACAGTGTGACAGAGCAGTGCTGCCTGGAGACCCTCAATGTGATAAATAAATCAAGGGCCATTGAAACACGTCTTGAACTTTTTTTTTTTTCTTGAACTTTTAAAAAATATCCAACAGCCTTAATCCGACCAAAAAGGATCATTTAGCAGTTTAAAGACAATTTAAAGTTGTGATGGAGGCCAAACTCTTCTGTAATAAGTGATTCCTTTTATGTGTTGTTTGCTTAGAAGCAATTCTACTGTGGTGGCTTACAAATGTTTATAGAAAATGTTTAAAATCACCAAATTTAAAGTCACGAGCCACAAAAGGCTGATTTTTTAAAACACTAAACTATCTTTTTTGCAGTGGCTCAACAATGCATTAAATATTTTAATATTTTAATGATGGTGATTGTCATGTTGTGGTGTAGATGTCTAACCCACGACATACAGAATCAGCTTGAGACGGGGAAAGTGCTTTAAATAAGAATTTATTAAAAGGAAACCAAGGGAGCAGCTTGAACGTAGCTGAGTTCTGTCACAAAGGGAGCCCGTGCGGGAAATAGTCTGGAGAGGGGGAAAAGTAGCTCGAGGGAGGAGTGGTCCGGTCTGGGCTGAGAGGGGATTCCTGAAACTGAGATCCAGAAGGGGAGACGTGGAGGGAGCCGAGTTGGTGGAGATCCAGGGAGCTTAGGTGGGCAGCTGGAGGTGGTTCTGGCCAGGGAGCAGCTGAGAGACAAGCAGGTTGAGTTCCAGAGAAATAGCCAGTCGGGGATGAAAGTGGAGGTTGATCTGGTGAACGAGAGCAGGAAGAGTAAAATGCAAAATCCAAAAATCCAAAATACATCTAAAATCTCAAAATCCAAAAACAAATCTAATTCTCAGGAGGTTACGGAGCTCGAATAAGTTTCACAAGTGGCTGTTAGAAGGTACCCAGGTAGAGTAATCATCCAGCGAAGTGTAGGAGTCTCCCAGCTGCTTAAATACCCCTGGCCAGCTGATGAGCAGATCTGCTGCAGCTTGGTCACCTCCAGACACGCCCACCTGCAGAGGGAAAACTCAAAAGACAGGGAGTGACAGCAGGGAAATACCTCAGACCATGACAGTGATCTTGTTTGTTTTATGTTCTAGACGAAAATGATCTGTACATATGTCGTCAGTTTGTCTGGATTTTGTTGCGTTTTTTTGTTTTATTGGTTTTTAGAGTAAACTTCAGCTGCTGATCATGTCTGCTGTGGCAGCGTTTGCCAGATTCACTCAAGTTTAATGACGGCGCTCACAAATCTTGTTTTTAGTAAAAATCTGGAGGTTTTGTACTTTTGTTTACCATAACATTTAAATAACAGCAAAATATGTTTGGTAAAATAAAAATAGTTAATTTTCTCAGTTAATAACACTTTTCAGCAGTTTTTGTCGAACCCTTCTTTAGCAAACCATATTATGCGTCTGTCTGCATCAACAGCCATAATGCCGCACAATCGCTCCAAAGGCTGCGAAGGCCCACGAACCGCCCTTTGCAAACCCGGTAATGTGCAGAGTAATTTGAGATTCATAGAAAAACAAAATGACATGTACTCAGTGTTTGTTGTTGCCAAGAAATCTGAGTTTTAAAGCAACTGCAGTAAAGTTTTAGTGAATCACCATGCCTGGACTGAAAACTGTAAATAAAAGTCTAACGGAGAAAGTTCTTAGACTTGTGAGCAAAAGGTTGATCTTCAAGATTCAGGCTGAACAAATAGGTCAGGAGAGACGTTTGGGTTTCAG